ATCATCATTCATATGGGCATAAGCAGGACAACTAAACACTCTTAAATCAGTGTAACTTGTAGGAGATCCAGACCAAACATTTTCAGGAGTCTTATACTTGATAGTTGTTGATAGAGACCTATTTACAAGATAACAAGTTGTATTAATAGCTTCAGCTCAGAACTTCTTGGATAGTCCAACATTTAAGGGCATGCTTCGTGCCCTCCCCAAGAGAGCTCTATTCATTTATTCTGCAACCCCGTTTTGTTATGGTGTTTTTTTCATCGTGCAGTGTCTCACGATCCCTTTTTTCTTGGATAATTCTTTGAAAACATCTCTACAAAATTTCATGTCATTGTCAGTTCTTAAAGGCTTGATCTGTTCTACTGTCTGCTTCTCGATCATAGCATTCCATTGTTTGAATTATTCAGAGACATCATTCTTGTACTTCACTATAAATACCCACACTTTTCGAGAATGATCATTGGTGAAGGTTTACATATACCTTCCACCACCAAGAGAGAGAACTCAAGAGGGCCCTAAAGGTCAGAATGAATATAATTCAAAGTGTCCTTGGTTCGATGAATAGCCATACTAAGCTTCACCTTGCATTGCCTCTCAAATACACAATGCTCACAAAAATCCAGCTTTCCAGTCTTTTGGCCATATAGCAAACCTCATTTGCTTAGAACATCTAGCCCTTTCACTCCTATGTTCTAAGTGTGTATGCCATAATTTGATAGTGTCTAAGCTTGAACCTGAAGATAAAGTTACAACAACAATACTCATTAGTGTGTTGCGTGTATCTGGTACAAACTATTCTACTTTTGCCTTTTCCTCACGACAATAGCAGTGTACCNTCCTATGTTCTAAGTGTGTATGCCATAATTTGATAGTGTCTAAGCTTGAACCTGAATATAAAGTTACAACAACAATACTCATTAGTGTGTTGCGTGTATCTGGTACAAACTATTCTACTTCTGCCTTTTCCTCACGACAAGAGCAGTGTATCCAAGAAAATAATATTTTTCTGTAGATCTAGAAGAGTCCTTACAATGCCATCATACATTTTTATTCGTATTATTTCTATCCGCACAACCTTATTGGCTATACTACAATCACTTGATTCATAGGTGGCCAACTAGTTTTTATTAGAACACATATGATAGGAGCAAACTNTCTAGAAGAGTCCTTACAATGCCATCATACATTTTTATTCGTATTATTTCTATCCGTACAACCTTATTGGCTATACTACAATCACTTGGTTCATAGGTGGCCAACTAGTTTTTATTAGAACACATATGATAGGAGCAAACTGAATTAAGAATCTATTTATCACCTGAGCAGTTAGTACTATATTTGGGAACATCAGCATCAGTGGAACTTTCATTAGCAACACCAACAATGTTATCGATTTAAGTCTTCAGTTTTTGTTTTGCCTTTATTTTTCGGACAGTCTTTTCCAATATAACATTCTTTTTGACAAAGAAATCATTTAATCTTTCTAGATCAACTTTTGGATTTAGATCGACCTCTGCTACTTAAGTCTTTCTTCGTTGATCGTCCTCTTGGAACCAAATCNACAGTCTTTTCCAATATAACATTCTTTTTGACAAAGAAATCATTTAATCTTTCTAGATCAACTTCTGGATTTAGATCGACCTCTGCTACTTAAGTCTTTCTTCGTTGATCGTCCTCTTGGAACCAAATCTTCATCTGAGCTTCTACCTCTATTTTCAGACACCATTTTTTAACTCTTTTGAGTTCAAGGCCACCTTAACATCCTCCATGGAAAGAGTCTCTTAACCATACATGATGGTATTGAAAAAGTGCTTGNTCTATTTTCAGACACCATTTTTTAACTCTTTTGAGTTCAAGGCCACCTTAACATCCAACATGGAAAGAGGCTCTTAACCATACATGATGGTGTTGAAAAAGTGCTAGTGCGTAAGTGGTAAAGAATTATGGCTTGAACTAAATCATCGAGTGTAAAATCGATATTTTTCAGATCTATCATGATATTATTGAACTCCCCAAACTGGTCATTGACAGGTGTACCTTCTTGCATTTGGAGAGTGAATAATCGTTTGATCAAATACAAAATTTTTTGTGAGAGACTTTGCCAAACTCTCCAATTTTAGTCACAAACTTGTGGCCATAGTTTTGCTAGCAACTTCTCGCAACACCCACAACTTCTTGTAGTTTTGTTAGCAACTTCCCGTTAAGGCTCAACGTGATAGCATTCTAAGCCTTTGCTGTCTTGCTTTTCATCATCTGGTATTATTGCGGGGAAGACATCTTTTCCCTTTATAACTTTCAACAATCCTTGTTGAGCCAACAAAACACACATCTTGAAACATCATATGTTGAAGGCGCTTGTTTTGTCAAACTTTTCTACTTAGAACTTTGTGGCCATGGTAAAATCTCAAGGCAAAATTCTGAGAGCATTAGATACCAGTTTGTTGTGACGGGCTCAAGATTTGAGTATCGAGATATACAATAAAATGACAAGAAATAAGTAGGGTACACACACAAAGACATAAGAGATTTACTTGGTTTGGCAAAAAACCTTATGTTCGTCCACGCAACGTAATCTACTCTATTGTGAGAGAAATTGAGAATATTAGGATAAGCTAGTCACTCAGATTTATATCCTAAAACCCAAGTCCTTAAACCATTGTACAAATACACCCTTCTCAACTAACACTCTCAAACAAGTTTTCTCACTCAGGGAATTTGTGTCAAGTCCTAATGTAGAAACAAGAAACTTAATAGCCTATTTATAGGCAGATACATTGTACCCGAAATTAGAACTTCTTAAATTTTGGTACACTAATTGAGCCTCCAAAATTATGTTCACTTTTGGTGCCTTGACTTCAAGCAACCTAATCCCACCTTACAAATTGGCAATTTGATGACGATGGCTTAGACGATTTAGAGTTGTCTTGAAAACAACTCGGTCGAATCTCCTGAGATTCGTGGTTTCCACAGAACATGAAACGACATCAAAAAGAAAAGTGTCGAATTAACTTGGCCAAATCATATTGGTTGGACCATGGTGCGAAAAGCATTGGGGGCATGGAGCTGGTTTATTATAGTGCAAAATTACGACCTTGAGGGGATACAAGGATGAAAAGTGATTTCGAGGGCAAATATGGAAAATAGGCCTTTGCATATCTCACACATCGTGCCCTAAGGGTGCATGACAATAGTGTTCAAAGTATCAGTCGACTCGGCCAAGTTATAACTGCCTGGGCCCCTATTGAACTAATAACGATACACGTTACACCAAATCAACGAGTCCCACTAGAGTCGGCCTTGAATCAGAGATGACTCGGTAAAATCGGTACAACTTGGGCTTTCCTCAGTTGACTCAGACCAACTCGTCATCGAGTCGGATGATTCATGATAAAATTGCACAGACCACTAAAATACAACAAAGTGCCAGCCAAAAAAAAAAGGAGATGGAGAAGAAAGAAAGAAAGAAAGAGATAGGGATGATTCCCACATGAAACATGCATAAAACTATGAGAAACCCATACTCAAAGCTGAATCGGAGCAATTTTTAGTCTCCCACGCAATACCCATATGCTTTTTGGTAAGACAAGAAAGAAATTGAAAACAAACTTGCAAAATTAAGCAACTACCAACAAGTCTAGATCTCTTTCTTCCTCCTTTTATTCTTTTTTCTTCATTTTCCTCGGTTTATCATGTCATGACGATGGATTGCTCACCGGTGTCGAATTTCTGCTTGGACTTCGACTTCCAGTCTCGAATCATGAACATACGAGGAGGTTTGCCATCTCTCTTTCTCTCCCCCCTTTCTTTTACGGGATGTGTGAAATGGGGCAGTGTTTTAAGGCATTTCTTTAAATGTTATTAGTTGTAGCATTAAATAGTATTAATTATTTTGTATTTTTTATTTCTCTCTTCACTCCAATATGAGAGGTATTTCATTAAATGTTATTGGTTGTAGTATTAAATAGTGTTAATTGATTTGTATTTTTATTTGTCTCTTGGGTCTGATAATTGATTAAATAATTTAGTTGATGTTTCTCTATTAATTGTCTTTTAAATTGATCTATGCATTGCATTGGTGTATTACTTAATTTGGGGGTTAATTGGAGAAATTAATATATTTCATTAGATTGGCAATGAATGGTGTACAAATTATTGTTCGGTACATTCTTAAATATCAAAAGTGAACACTAGTAATGGTAAATATTTTCGGTAACACTCTTATATTTAATTTTCACTATATTTGATGTGCTAGATGATTTATTTTGGACATATAATTCATTGATGCTATTATTTATATTTTTTTGGAATTTTTCTATGATTTTTTCAGATTTTTTGCATATCGGCCGATACCGCGACCGATGTGTATCAATGCCTTCCAAGTTGATGACCGATACTCCGACCTTGAAACATGCATGACAATCCTAGAATAGAGTAACCCTTATAGTTCTCAATACATTGTAAGACTTGGAGGTGGAGTTAATGAAATGTTGGTTGGATTTGCTTTACAATGTTGGCAGTCATTGTAAGATGGTCTATCAGATGAGACGAAAGGTAGAAAGGAATGGCAAGTTTTTAGTAAATTTGGTCGATATTCAGCTTTCTAAAGGAGGTGCTCCTTAGTCCAGGGAGATTTTTATGGTTAACTGGGTTTTAAAAGAAAATTGCTCAATTGTTTGAGAAAAGTGGGTTTATACTTTTTGCTCCTTCTGTTTCATGGCAATTTTTTATTTTATACTAATTTTTCCATGATCAATTCTGTGTTTTTGTGGTAGCTTCTTATTTCTGATCCTATAAAAAAATATTGCTAGTGAAGGCTGTTTTTTACTTGTTATTTGTGAATAAGTTGCAATATATTTCTTTTTCTTATTTGGTGATGTATGATCTTGATGATCCCTTTCGTGTAGGTATTAACGATTGCCAAAGGTGTACTGGAGACTCTAAGCTTGTAGTAGTTGATTGATAGCTGAGCTTGCTCACCTTTTAAGAGAGGAGTAAGAATGGAAGCACGCCCTGCTTTGTCAATTCAAAAGTCAGGTGCAAGACAACGCAATAACATTGCAGCGTCAGGGCCTCTGTCTTCATCTTTACCTGTTCTTCCCTCCACTCTGGGAGAAAAATATCCTAAGTTGCAAGACTCTCAACAGGTTCCCATGGAGAGGGAATTTTTGCCACCTCCTCTGGCTGTTCATCCTCTGGCTGTTCATCCTCCATTGTCTTCCAATAGTGGGACTGTTGGCCACATATTTTCTTCATCCTCAGAATTCTCCACCGATCTTCATTTTTCTTCTGCTTCCCCCCATGAAAAGCATTCAAGACAGGCTCCTTTCATTTCCCAGTCGTCAAAGAGTGCGGGGTCCGCACCATCAATGCATTCTTGTAACTCGGGACTTCTTCAATCTACAGCATCTAGTCACTATACTAAAGAAAGCAATGATGATTCCTGGTGTACAGGTTCACTGCCTGATTTCCTTAATTATCCATTGAACACATCAGTCCAGAATAGTCAATTCGAAAGTAGCAATAGTGGTGGTTGTATCATGCCATCTGAGGAACTTGGCAAACGAAATGATTGGCAGGAATGGGCAGACCAACTAATCAATGATGATAATGATGCATTGACTTCTGATTGGAATGAGCTTCTTGTTGATACTAGTGTTGTACATCCAGAGCCAGAGGTTAGGGTCCTATCACAACACCAGCCTTTCCAGATTGCTTTACTATAGGTTTTCCAGAGATATAATTTATATGTTTCTTTCTTTTTGCTTGGTTATAATAGATGGCCTCTCAGGCTTTCAAACCTTCCACCAATTTCTCAGTGCACCTGCCCTTAGTACGTCAGCAACTTCCTGCTGCTTCTGGAGAAACTTGTGTTGTTGTTCCCCCTTCCCCCTCAGCGAGTGGTGCTGCAACCAAACCACGCATGCGTTGGACTCCAGAACTTCATGAAGCCTTTGTGGAGTCAGTTAACAAGCTTGGTGGAAGTGAAAGTAAGATTAATCCGTGCTGTACCTTTTGACCTTGTCTGAGGTTACAAAAACGTGGGGATACTATTTACATTAACTACTTTTTGAACCACAGGAGCTACTCCCAAGGGAGTGCTGAAGCTAATGAAAGTTCAGGGTTTGACAATCTATCATGTAAAAAGTCACCTGCAGGTGCTTTTGTTGGCCTTTTTTCCTTATATTAGTTCCCGACAAAGTGGATCAGCCATTTTTGTCATTACTCATGTAACCATGAATTTGGTTCTCTGGATTGCAGAAATATCGAACAGCTAGATACAAACCAGAATCATTAGAAGGTAAACAACAGCTGTTTTTTGTTCTGTTATGGATGATCAAATGTACTGCATTCTATCATTTTATCTCATTCAATCCATTCTGGTTTTTACATTGTTGTCACTTCTGTTCTTATGACAAATGAAATGCTGGAGAAAGCTGGTATTTAAGTTGTTCAGCAAGGCAAAATTCTGTTTATGGTTTTTCTTTTTTCCCTTTTTTTGCATCATGTTTTTTAGCATTTGCATGATATAAAATGAGTGGAGTACAGCCTATTTTTTGACCAACATGTCAATCCTATTCACGTAGTTCCTGCAAGAAGAGCCATATCAAAATAGATACAGCGACTGAGAAAGATTGATCTCTTCTTGGTTTTCTTCTGAGCTCCCCCAAAAAGTGCCCCATTTCTTGTGACGACCCCCTTTTTATTTTCTCTCCTTTAGGCCGTGACTCACTCTATGGTGAGCACACAGAGATACAGGTGCAAATAGGCAAGCACATGCATGTGTCTCACTCCATATATAGCTGCCACCTCTTGTTACTTTGTTAACAATTTTGTGTTCGTAATTTTTCCATGTTCTTATCCATTGGTTCATAAAAGCCCATGCTTCACAATAAGTGGAACTTGGAAGCCTACTAGAAATTTTGACAGGTTGTAGGGATAGTTTCCCATATTCACATTTTTTTTCTTTTTCCCAGCTTTTTATCTTTGACTTCAGTTCCTTCTATTGGCTTCATTACTTACCAATTGGTCTCACTAGCATTTGCCATCAATTAGTCTCACCATAATCATTTGCCATCAATTAGTCTCACCATAATCTGCCGTCATACAAAATTAACTTGTCTATTGGAACAGGGTGTTACAGTAACTTGTCAGAAAAGTGACGGCCTGCAAGTTGAGTTCCTTTATTCATTGGGATTGCTTTCTTGTGCAAAGTATCAATCTTTGTGAGCTTTGCTCATGAAGCTAATTTAGGTTTTCTAGAACTTGTTCCCTGAATATTTTTCTAGGTTCCTTAGTTGTTTGAGCTGTTTATGACCTGTCAGCATTGGAGGGAAGACTTCCACCATAGCTCTGATGCTTGTACTTCTGTACTTGCTGTGTTACCCAAGCCTCAGCACTCTGTTGTATAGGGAAATTTTTGCAGTGATGTACTGTTTAGCATATTTTCTCCTTTTCCCCCTCAAAATCCTGTGCCATCTTTCCAATAGTGTTTTTTGTTTTTGGTGTAGTTGTTTGTTTCTTGCTTTTTTTGGTTGGACCATAGTATGTAAAGAGGATTCAGGGCATCACACTCCATAACTCAGGCATTCTCCTTTTGCAGGATCTTCAGAGAAAAAATTGACTCCTATAGAAGAATTATCATCTTTGGACTTGAAAGCGTAAGTAACTTGATTGATTTGACCACTTCCATCAATTGGTGGAGTTTATAGTTTATGTATGTACTATTAATTGGTTACTTATTCTCTAATCTGAATGACTGTCATAAAAGTATTGTCACTTTCTGTGGTACATAGGTGCCTTCCAGTGGTAGTTTATCTTTTCATTGACCAATTTTTTACATAGAAAGTTCCATTCTTGACCCAATAATACTTGAATTTTGACTGCCACTTCTATTCCTCTGCTGAATTTGATCTATTGTACAATAATTGATCACATTGGGAGGTTGAATTCCTAAACTTGTGAAGAACCGACTTGGAAAAAGAGCCAAACAATGCATCCGTAATGGCATCAGCAGATCACATGGATGAAATGCTTAGATCCAAGAATTGATACCCCTAAACTTTCATATTCTATGTTTAAGAATTAAAAGAAAAATTATGTTGGCAATCTCTGGCACTAATGCTGATCTTCTGGGAGACTGACAACATTGATAGGGGGAGAGAGATGCTGATGATCATTATGACAGGGACTAGGAGTTCTCATGGAAGGGGGGATGACTGTGGCACAACCATGGGAGACCTAGAATGTTTGGGAGAGCTGCATTAGGGGGAACGTTATCATTGTTTGCAAAAACGAAGGGTCATTCTGGTGTCTGAATTCTTAACAAAATGACAATTGTTTATGTTGTTTGCTGGTAAAATAAGCAAAGGCAAAACTGTTCTCCATTGAGGCAGTGACAAACATAACCTCAAAACTTGTTACAAAAGCCTTGTCTTTCACCTTTATAAGCTCTAATCATAACTACTGCTACTTTACTGAGTATCCTCCCAGTAACTAAGAAATGTTTCCAAGATAACAAAGTCTTGAAACATTAAAAAAAGCTGAAAAGTAAACTTTGAGTGTATAGAGTCCTCTGGATTCCAATCCTATTTCAGCACTGGTAAACTTTAATGAAGACTTGTGATGCAGTCATGAACCTGTGTTGAGCTTTTATTCTTTTACCCTGAAACTCAGTCCTGTCCCATTTAAGATTAAGACCTTGCATAGCCCTTTCCAATTGCTGTCACAGGGCCAGTGGACCCTTTTTCTGTGTTCATTGCCATTCTTTTCTGGTGAACTAAGGTTGCCCTGAAGTAGTTTAACCTTACTGCATGCTGTCTGCTTCGGAAGGCTCAGGGTTCAAGTCCTGGTTAAGGGACATGGGGTGGGGTGCATGGGGTTATGGATTTAACAACCTCCCTTCCCCAAACTGCCCACATTATGTAACCAGTGATAATTCCAGTTCAAAGAAGTGAAAGAAGAAAACTTGTTCTTGACCCACCAAAACTGCAATGAATAGGGTATATCCAAATTGTATTAAATTAAATGACTCACTCTCATTCTCTCTCTCTCTCTGTAGGATAATAATAGTGTTGGCTTTGTTTAAAGGCTAGCTCACATATATCCATGTAATTGCACCTGGCGTGGAAATCAAGTCTCACATGTCTCTTGCGAATGCAAACTGCAATGCCTCTTAATAGGCATAGCATGGGTCTCACCAACACTGGGACTGTAAAGACTAGAGATTTTCCATATTATGATTGTATTTCTTATTGACGGTAAGCATAGGGATAGAAGAAGACAAAAATTAACTTGAAATTAAATAGTAAAGAAAGATATGAGTACATATGGATTAACAGAAAAAAATGGCCTTAATAGAGAAAAAAATTAACATGATTCATGTAGCCGACCCCAGAAATGTTGGGGCAAGGCTTTGTTGAGTTGAGTAGATTGTACATCATATTGACCTCTCGAATGTTTTTATGGTCATATATCTTTAAGTTAAAATCTCGGTGATTAAATCATAATTGCAAATGTGAGCAATCAGCTTGGATGTGGACATTATGCACTTGCTTGTTATCCTATAAAGCTGAATGCAGTTGATTCCTCTTCTTCTGCAGTCTGCACCTGACATCTGTATCTAACTATAATTACCTTCACGTTTTTTAAATTTGATAATGAATGGTAGGACCAGAAAAGTTATAATAATGCTGCCTACCTATTGTCATTGTTGGGGTAAGTTTGTGTAAACCTTGGAGTTCAGAGTGTATACAGGTAGACAAAAGCTTAAACGACTTACCTAAATTGGATTGTCATTCCGTTGGTTTTAAATTTGAAGTTTAAACTTTCCACTAGAATTAAGCCTCTAAGATAGAATATTATCACAACTACTAAGACTATTCTAGACTTACTAAAGATGACTGTTCAAAGTCCCAAAGGGAAAATTTGACCCCGTATAAAGCAGCCTAAGTAGTTCATGTGAATCTTGGTTGATATTGATGCTCTGCAAATAGCTTGTGGAGCCACTCCACTTTTGCTGATAAAATTCTGGACTCAAGTGTTGCCATAGCTAACTTTTAGGATTGAGTAGGTATTTATGTTGCTCTTCATAAAGATTTCTATGCATATGAAGTCTCTTCAAAATATGCTTTNATGGCATCAGCAGATCACATGGATGAAATGCTTAGATCCAAGAATTGATACCCCTAAACTTTCATATTCTATGTTTAAGAATTAAAAGAAAAATTATGTTGGCAATCTCTGGCACTAATGCTGATCTTCTGGGAGACTGACAACATTGATAGGGGGAGAGAGATGCTGATGATCATTATGACAGGGACTAGGAGTTCTCATGGAAGGGGGGATGACTGTGGCACAACCATGGGAGACCTAGAATGTTTGGGAGAGCTGCATTAGGGGGAACGTTATCATTGTTTGCAAAAACGAAGGGTCATTCTGGTGTCTGAATTCTTAACAAAATGACAATTNGAGTTCGATTTCTTGTGTGATCATGGATCATAAGGTGCAGATTTATGTTTGTAAGGTCTGCACGTTGACTCTACATATACGATGTATGTCAAAGCCACCCCGTTCATTAGTGATTTAATGCACAACCTGAACAGCAGCTGTTTATGCTGCTTCTCAGTTGTTTGATCCTGTAGTTGCTGCAAAAAATTGTGCATATTAAGAAAGTAGCATCACAGAAATGCAGTGCTAACATCTTTCATTTTTCTTTTCCATTCGTGCTTAACTCCATGATTAAAGATGTGGAATCACAACTCCAACTGAATATCCTATTTTTTATTGTTATATACATTTGTATTGATTACAGTTAAAGAATTACAAAGCCATTCAATGTCATGGGCCGGTCATTCTATAAAATTCATGGGTCTCAAATCTGAACCTGGACGAAATGAAAGTACTGCTGCTCAGTCATGTGTAGTCTGACTTCCAAGTTTGATATTAGTCAAACAGGCCAAATCGAAAATGATTTGCGTTGGATGCATCTATTCCTCTAACAATAGTATTTATGTCATTCTTTTGCAGATTCAAAGGAATCTACAGCTGCGAATAGAAGAACAAGGGAGATGCCTCCAAATGATGTTCGAGAAGCAGTGCAAGTCTGGTGTTGACCTGTTCAAGGCCTCATCACCCCCCCTGGACAACCCCCGTGCTCAGTTAACGGATTCAGCCCAAAATTCCCCTACCAAAAATGAACCGGGGCCCTCACAGGAGGACCATCACGAAACAGGAAACGACCCAGTGAATACCATCACAGTATCAGAGGATGGTTGCCAGAAGTTGACTGGAAAGCAAAAGGTGCCTGGAACCAAACCTTCTGATGATGTAGAGGCAAATGTTGTTGGTGCAACTAACTCGCCACCCTCCAAGCGTGCCAAAGTGAATGAATAAGCCCAAAAATATAGCAAATCCTCTTAAAAACTGACAAGATTACATGGATAAATTGAATGTCTGAGTATAACAGGGAGAGTAGACAGGTGAGGAGCTCTGAAACTCTTACATCCTCTTCTTTTGAATTGAATTCTTATGGGCAGTGAGCTTGTGCTCTTCTTCAGTTTTAGTGATACTCAAATTCTCTCGAGTTTCGGAATTATCAGATTTAGAGTCACATCTGATCTCTGTATTGAGTGAGAATGAATGTCAAGGGATTTTTGTTGGAGAATGAAACATCCTTTTTTGCCCTTGTCTTCTGTGAGTATGCACTGCTTAGTTCTTAACAATTTTCTCACCCATGAGATTTAATACTATGGGGTATGTGGATAGGGGGGTTTTCTGGATCTCTATTTTTCAAATCGAGATATATTTCGCTTCATGGTGTTTATATTTGAATTTAAGGTAGCTGGGATTTGCTCCAGAAACGGAAGCATCCCATTTTAGGCATGTAACGATATTAATAGCGAAGAAAGATAAACACAGTACATGTGCGTAAAGATCAGAATGGAGTAAGATGGGTATAGGACAATTTCTCAATTTGTGCCTGTCATTCTTGTGTACGGGTTATGCTAATCTTTTATCTATCGTTCCAATTTCATTGGATGGCCCCGAAGCAACAAGTATAGGAGAATCACAATGCACAACAAAACTATGGACATTTTGCAGAGGCCAAAGGAGATTGTTTTACTAAGTTTCTCTATCTACAAGCTGAAGCGTGGCAAAGAAAGGTGGAGTTGACGAATGAGTATAAATTTATTTCCATCAAATTAAAACAATTTTACAACAGTACATACTTCACACAAATCCACAGTGAAATGAACAAACAGTAGCAACTCAATGAAATGAAAGCAGAAACAAAAACAAAACCAAAAAACCAGACAAAAAACTTCCAAAACCACCTCACAAGCTTCCCTAAGAGGAGCAGGAGTGCCCCCTTCCCGCCTCCCCACCTCCACCTCCTCCTCCTCCTCCTCCTCTCCCTCCCAAAAAAAAAAAAAAAATGAGGAGCAGGAGAGCTTGGGAGATTAAGCTTCAGCAGTACCCTTGATCAATGCTCTCTCCAATCTTGTTTCAAATGGGGTAGAGTGCCAATTCACTCTCTTATCCTGCATTCACATAACACCAAACGGATGAAATCAAGAAAAAGATTGAAGAATTCAAAGAAGGAGCAAAATTACAAGTAAGAAAACAATCCACAAAAATCTCACTTCACATATACCTCTCTGTATTTGCTGGTAGTGTTTGGTATGCCTTTATAGGAAGAGGCTGAACCAGAATCCTTAGTTTGGCCTGTGTGACTCCAATAGGTTCCAACAGTACCTATTAGTGGTATCTCATCAGGGCTTCGACTAGGTGACCTCCTTGGTGAGCAAGATGCTGAAAACTGTCTAATCTCCTCAACTGTCAGTGCACCTAAAATTGGTCTATCTTCTAAGCTCATTACTGAATTTGATCCTTGTTGTGACATACTCATCTCAGATGTAATGGTTTCGTGCCCCGTAAAGCTAGTCTTCTTGACGGGAGTTGTTTCTGAAGAAACCAACCAATTTGAAAGACTTGCATCAACTGCTACTTCTTGATTGAAATTGTTTTGTGGGTTTGGCTTGAAACCAAGGAATGGTTGCTTAAAACTCGGTTCTGAACTGAAAGAAACGTGGGGTGCTTCTTGTTCTGATGTAAAATTCTTGTTTTGTGGCTTCAAAGGTGGTGCATTTTTGGATTTTACAGCTTTCCACTGAGTAATATTCTCCACTGGATTCAGCACAGGATGAACATAAGCACTTCTATCTCTTGCATTTCGGTTACTTTTCAGTTCTTGATGTGTCATTTGACTCTCTACCTCCTCCATAATCTCCCTTGCTGAATTATCGGTCCTTGACTCCATCGATGCAGTTGGAATTGACTCGCACCACACTTCTTTCACTTCAATTCTATCATAATCATCCTCATCATAATCACCATAGCATTCTAGTTCCTCGTCATCTTCATCATCCAAACCAGTATCTCCATACTCATCAGCTTCATCATCGCTGTCTCTGAAGTTCTGATACCTATGGTTTGGAGGGTAAGATCCAACACTGGAAGTTACTGAATCATCTTCAGATAGGGAACTAGAATGGCTTGTTTTTGCCAAACTTTCCTCCTTGTCCTTCTCACTAACTGTGTCCCCCCTCTCTGGTAAAGAATCAACACTTTCACAGATTGAAACATGCTCATAGGTTGTGACAATTGAATCAAATGTAACTCTCTTTCTGGTACTCAAGCTCAAGTGCTCCTCAGAGTTATCTCTACACCCAAAATCCGTACAACTTCAGTTAAAAAAATAAACAGAAAATAGGGAAAACAGATGGAGTTTTTGGTTTTGAGAAACAAGAACTGAAGAAACAAAAGAGTAACATAAGAAGTAGGACGGGTGGGTTCCTCACCGCAGCTCCGAGACCGGTGTGACGGGTTTTTCTGTTATGCCCTGTTCTGAAGAGACGGTGATTTGCAAAGGCTTCTGACTTCCATGTCTCTGCAACACAATTCAGAGGCTAACTGGGTTCGTCCATTACAAATTTTCAGGACAAAAAGAAAGAAAGAAACATAAAGCAGAGATTCTGTTTGATTGTTGAAAGGAGTTTGTGAGTGAAAAATCAAAGAATCAATCTTTATAACCTTGGAATTCCTATAATTGGGACCTGATAAACAAAACCCCAACTCAAAAAACCTAAAAAAAAAAAAAAACTGTTTGACTGCTGAGAAAAGAAAAGAAAACATAATATTGAATGAATCTTTAATGTTTTATGTGTTTCCAGAAGACCAACAAATCAACTGAACCAACCACAGGGAAAGAAACACTGAAAACAATATGGCAATTAAGCTTAAAGATTGGCTTACTTGGTCCCGAGGGATGACCTTATTCCTCTGTTTTCTGGGTTTCCGATCCTTAGAACCGCCAAAACACCCAAGAAAACAGCCCATCAGAGAGTAGAGACACAACGTCTCTGTTCTTGGTTTCGGACAGAGTTTCTTGTTGTTCCAGTGAATACGGTAGATTTTGGGGGATTAACGATTCTTCATGTTCGGAGAAAGAGGAGAGAGAAACGAGAGAGGAGCGTTGGATTCTGAAAGGAAAAGGTGGAGAGGAAGAACAAGAAGAAAAGGGAACAAACGGTCATGTTTTGGTAGGGGCTATATGATATGATCCAAAGGTTTTTGCTTGAATAACGAAAAGTGACCGTTAGAGTTGATTATTTTGAAAAACAATGTATTAGGATCGTTAAATCGTATCTGGACCGTTGATCCTCTAATAACTACGGATCTCACTCATTTTTTAAAGAGTAATGCTACATGAATTTAAAAATTAGATTTGATAATTATAATCATTGATTTTATTGTGGGCTCTAACATTTATTAAAATCCACGACCTACTTAATGGTTGAAATTATTAAATATAATTATTAAGTCTAAATTTGTGTCGCAACTTAATTTATTTAATTCATAATATAAACTAGTACAATAATTAAAAAATATTATTTATTGATAATGTCGATGCATTGATAATCAATTACTATGTGATTATTACCATTTGTTTTCAATTTTCTTTCAAATTTATTGTGTTTAATAACTTAGTTTTAATAGTGTTCAAGTGAAAATTATTATTTAAACTAATAATTTTTAATATAAAAGTATATTTTAAAAAAAAGTTTTTATTAAAATGTCTTAAAATTTTTTCGAAAATGCTTGGTTAATTTTTCACAATCAATTATCATGTTAACCTAGGTTTAAGAATTCCAACTATAAACTACCCTACAATTCTTTCAACTCTTCGAACCCCCCCCCCCCCCCCCCCCAGCAAGGCCAGGGTTTCCCTTGGATGCCCCATCCACGTTCATTTTCAGCATACCCACAGAAGGGCACCCCCAACAGACCCANAACTTTTGTCTATTGTCCAATCTTTCAATTTGATTCATCGATCCTAGGAAACCCAACTGATTTCATTTTGATCGTGTTTTTTAATTTCTTTTAATGTATTATTATTTGGCCATTAAACTTGGACGAATGATATTTTTATACCTTAAAAAAATTCAAATATTTTTCTTTTGTATGAATTAAAATAGTAAATTCTTCATTTGTTACCATTTAAATTTAAATGGTAATTAATTTTTTCTTATACCAATCAACATGCCTTGGAAGAATGTTACCCCTCTCATTGTTTGCAGCATGTTGCCTTCATTTACACACATTATTGCACCACCACACCGCTGTTTGCAGCATGATCCCCTTCTTTCCTTGTTTGTACACATCACTACACCATCATTTTAATATTTAATTTTATTAAATTACTATTACCATTCAAAAAGTTAGCATTTAATTCATCAAATTAATATTCAATTTAATTAAACTAATACTAAATTAATATTTAATTTTATAAAAATTAATACCAAATTAAAAATCAATTTTATCAAAACATATTAAACTATATCAAATTACTGCTAAATTAGTATTCAATATAATTACATTAACTACCAATATTATTAATTTAACATTCAAATTTATTAAATCAACATTAAATTCCATCAAATTAATACCAAATTAAGTGAAATTGATCTTAAATTTTATAAAATTATTATTTTATTTCAACAAATTTACATTCAATCTCGATTTGTTCAATTTTATGAGTTGAACATTTAATTTTACAAAATTAATATCATTTCTTCAATTTAACATTAAATTAAATTTCAATTATATCAAATTAATATTCAATTTTATGAATTTAATATTATTTTTTTAATTAATATTTAATCTTGTCAACTTAACATTATTTTTTAATTCAATTAAAATTTAATTTAATTAAATTAGTAACAAAGGGACGTTGGTATATATGTATTATGTATACGTATAAGGACTGGTGTAAAATAGTGTAAAGCTTGGGGGTAAAGTGGTAAAACAAGCTTTTTCATTAGGTCCGTTGCTAGACAAACTTTGAAAAGTGGTATCAATGGAATTTTAGAATTCAGAAGGGATGTTGCTGAAGTTAGGCCGTGGATGAAATTCATCCTGCTGCTATTCAATCCCTTGAAAAAACGACGCCGTCTCAGTATAATTGTAAGATATTTTCTTGGCACAAACCCTAGGGCCCAGGCTCTCTGTCTCTTCAATCCCATTTCCTCTTTCTTTTTCAGACAGAGGTATATACGCATATGTAAACACTCGGAAACTAGTAATTAGAGAGAGAGAGAGAGAGAGAGTGATGGACTCGGACGAGGGAAAGCTATTCATAGGAGGGATAGCTTGGGACACCAATGAGGATAGATTGAGGGACCACTTTGGCCAGTACGGAGAGGTCACCCAGACCGTTATCATGCGAGACAAGATTACCGGCAGACCTAGAGGTTTTGGCTTCGTCGTCTTCGCTGATCCGTCCGTTCTCGACACTGTCCTTCAGGACCAGCACAACATTGATGGTCGACAGGTGATAGTCAGATCAGACACCTTCGCTCTCTCATTTTTGCGTTTGGTTTTTATGCTTTATACATGAATTGCATTTTGTAAATCCTAGATTTCCTTTCTTGAACGCGGAATATGATCCAATGACTTTGAAGGAATCGAACGAGGAGCCCTATGGGGTGAAAATTTCATTTACGGTTCTGTAGAGTGGCAGTAAGGGGGACTTATCTGTCGACTTTTCCACTATCACCCCAAAAAATTAAACTCTACCTTACTGAAAGTTGCCGCAGTACGATTAACTTCTGGATTTGAAATCACTGCCTCCATACATGGTATTGGGCATTATTCGCAAGAACATTCTGTAGTTCCTTATTCCTTAAAGTGTTTTCTACTCCTCTTCATTTTTTTAATTGATTAATTATGATTCTTGGTTGTTTTTATTTGACTGGTTGTTTTGTTTATTATAGTTTGGTTATTTTTCTTGACGCTTATTCATTGACCTAGTCATGTTAAAGGAAACCAAAATATTGGAGATTAGATTTTGCAATGCTTTGGGCATAGTCTGTATTATATTCTTGTTCTAATTTTTGGGCGGGAGCTGAATTAGTTTTACTCTGATGACAGTATGAAACAATTTTGATGATCCAAATTTTGTCTCCTTTCGCTTGCTTGTGTGGGTTAACTATACAAATTTAGGATGAGATTTTTGATTGTATGGTATTGTTATCTGCATTGGATTTACTACACACATTTAGGATGAGATTTTTAATTGTTTGTTTATGTTATTGTTATCTGTTTGTGATATAGTGCAATGACTTGATGAAATTTTAAAGAAGACTTAATACAAAATTGAAATTTTGGAAAGAAGTCTTTAAATCAAAAGGGTGTAAGATAATAGAAATAAAATCGAATGTACGTTCAGTAATTTTAATGGGAATAAAAATTGAAATAGTGAGGTAGTAAAGATTGAAGGCGAAGAGATATAAAAAATAGAACACTTTTGATATTTTTGGTCAATTATCTCAAAGAAGGGCGAGATTGGAGACGATGTTGCTCGTAGAATTTTAATAGGATTAATTAAGTGTAGAAATGCATTTGTGCATTGTGTTTTCAACATGTACCCCTTAACCGAAAAGGTAAGATCTACAAGACTACCATTATGCGCATAATGCTTTATGATATATAATGTAGTGCAAGTAAGAAATATGTTTGAAAATTCAATGTGGCTGAAGTGCGGATGCTAGGATGGATGTTTGGTAAATGATTCATGAAATAAAATATACATACTTTAATTTCAGTGGAAATAACAATTAAAATAGTGAGGTGGTAAAAGATTGAAGGCCAACAGACATAAAAAATAGAACATTTAAATTGGGTCAATTATCTAACAAGGAGGGTGAGAATAGAGACGATATTGCTCATAGAATTAAAGCATAATTGATTAACTGTAGAGGTGCATTTTTTGTATTGTGTGGTCGATATGTAGACCTTAAACTAAAAGCTATGTTCTACAAGACTACCATCATACCAACAATGCTTTATGATATACATTGTTGTGCAACTAAGAAATATGTTTGAAAATGTAATGTTGTTGAAAGTTAAGATGGATGTTTGATAAAATTGGACAAAATAGAATTAAAAATTAATAAATTCAATAAATCGTAGAAATAACACTAATAAGTAGTGAGCAGGAATCGACTAACAAGATTTGGATCCTTTTATAGAAGATCTAGTATTGTACCGGTTGATGAGTGATGTGTTGATATATATTAATGGTAATGTGAGAGGTAGAGTTGCATCGAAATTAAGTTTTGAATGAGGTACTAAAAATTAATATGATAGCATGCTTTTAGCCGTTATCGTGGTCATGGATAGAGAATAATGGAGGAATATGATTTAGGAAGCCAACCCTAAATAGTTTGGTTAAGGTTTTGTTGAGTTTCACTTTCTTATTAACCAATTTGGGGTATAAATTTTGTTTCCATGAAATGACCTTTTTTTTTTTTTCCACTTATCTTTTCCTAGTGTTGTTTTTTTCTTGTGGGTTTCTTTGGGTATTTTTTTTTTTGGGTGGGGTGGAGGAGGAAGTGGTTCATCAAGGAGCAAGTGAATTCAGGACTTCTCTTTGATGGTCTTCATCAGATGGTTTTCTAATATGTTAGGTAATGCAGAAAATCTGAGGTACTTCTATTTGATCACATGTTATTGCAGTTCTGGATGAGCATTTTGCTATTACTTATACTTTTCATCCCTATATACAACAGATTGTAGTAGTTGGACCTGGGTTATTGAGTTTGCTCAGGCTTAATTATTAAAACACTCCTAGTCAGATTCAAATCGTTGATTAATTTAATCAACTATAATGGCAAAATAAAAGTAGTTCAACTTTCAAAACCAACATGAACTAGAATAGTGGTCTGAAAAATTTGAAGAAAATAACTAGGAATAGGAGGAGTACCATTCAACCATAAAGGTTCCCATCATTTCCTAAATTTTATGTACCAAACCAAGACTCAGCCAGTGGTGCATATGTCCTCTTGTACGGTAAGAAGCACATTGTTGGTAATCATAAAGCTTAATATTAAAGTAACATATTATATGGGTAATATATAAGGCTTGGGTTTGCTAGGGCTTATTTTTTTAGTTTTGAAAATTGACTCGGGCTCAACCGAAGTTTGGGTTGGATTCTATTTTCCCAACCCAGGCTCAACTTAATCTTAAAAGGGGCAGCCCAAGCTCTACAAGTGTTTGGATGGGGTTCAGATTGGCTTGTTGAAGTTGAACATCTATGGAAAATTGGCATTCTTCATTGGTTGGTCAGGGGTTTCCTGTTACATTGAATTAGAGCTTATGTTTTTTGGTTTGTAGTTTAGGGCTTAAAAAAAATTTCTGGACTTACTCTGCTTTGTGGATGTCAAATGTGCTCGGCGAGTATTTATTTAATTTATTCTCAAGTGTTTTCGTCTGTAACATTATCATGTTTTAGAGGAATAATTAAATCGGCATGATGATGTTTTAAATTTGGTTGTGAATGTGTTTTGTGCTTTTGAGTTGTCTTTATCACTGGAAGATGTGATTTCTTCTGGGACATCATCATGATGTGATAATATTTCTGAAGTTGTCTGCCATGTTTTTCTTTGTGCTCTGTAGCCTGAGCCCCTATTTTTTACAATTATGAGACAATGTGAGGGGAAATAAATTATGAGTGTATTTAGATGATGCTTTTAGAATTCTAATTCTTAGTAAATTTTTTGTATTTAGATGATGCTGTAAGGTGTTTTGGGGACATCTTTGAGGCTGACCAGTTACATTAGACATTTTAGAAGCAATTAATCATGTTAAAATCAATGTGTACGATTGTGGAAATGATCTGCCAGTCATTTATTGGGGCTCCTTAGCTGCTGCTTACGGAGTTCTGATGCTTGTGTGTCGATGTGTTTGTGAGAGCTTGCCTGTATGCGTTTGCTTCCTTCTTTATTTTGAAACTCCAGTTTGGCTACTCAGGTAGAGGCTAAGAAGGCTCTGTCGAGAGAACAGCACAACTCCAGATTTGGAAATACAAATGCTGGCAGGAACTCTGGAGGGACAGGAAATTACAAAACCAAAAAGATATTTGTTGGGGGGCTACCTGCCACCCTGACAGAAGATGAATTCCGTCAGTATTTTGAAAATTATGGCCATGTAACTGATGTAGTGATAATGATCGACCAAAATACTAATAGACCTCGCGGTTTTGGTTTCATTACATTTGACACCGAAGATGCTGTTGATAGAGCTACCTTTAAGACCTTCCATGAGCTGGGTAATAAATTAGTTGAGGTGAAAAGAGCCCTTCCTAAAGATGCAAGCCCTGGTGCCGGAGGCCGGGGTGGTGGCTACCAGGGTTATGGTTCTTCTGGTGGCAATGCTAGCTCATTTGATAGTCGAATGGATGGTAATAGATATTTACAGCCACAAACTACTGGTGGTGGCTATCCACCATATACCAACTATGGAGCACCAAGTTATGGTTATGGAGCTGCAACTGGCAGTGCTGGTTATGGTAGTTATGGCAGTTATGGTGTCAGCGGTTATGCAAGTGCCAATGCTGGCTTCAGTGGTCCTCCTGGAGCATATGGAAGCCCTAGCGCTGGAAATACGGGTTATGTGAGTGGCCCTGCTGGTGCCTTAAAGAACTCTTGGAACAGCATGACTCCTGGGTATGGTGCATCAGGCTATGGAGCAAATGCAGGCTATGGGGCTTCCATTCCTTGGAGTGCTCCAGGTAGTGGTGGTGCTGGCTCTTATATTAATTCAGGTGGATATCCATCTGTTGGTGGGCGAGATGGGAGTGTCCAAAATAGCAATGCTGCTGGGGGTGCTAGTGGGACAGAACAACAAGGAACAAGCGGGGGCTACTTGGGGAATGCATATGGAAGCAGTAATGTGTCTCCAGGGTATTCGAATGCTGTCTGGAGGTCAGAGTGATAAATGGAGACAGGCCCAACAGTAGATGGCACCTAATTTCCTTCACTGGAATCTTTCTTTGCTTCTTTCTTCGCTTGGAGACTTCTGCAAGATGGCTACACATCCTGAGACTGGTTGGATTGCTTCAATCTCAATAGTAGTCCTCAGTAGCTATTTTGCTAGCATTTGATGTCTAGTACTTATGAGTAGTAGTGTTACTCCGTATTTTAGTTTGTCCTTGCTTTTCAAGTATGAGTGTTTAACTTCAGGTTGCTTATTGTTGTATCTGCTAGTTGATTTTGGAGGTTTTAGCCCCTTCTTAAATGTTTGTGTCTTATCTGTTTATGCTAGATATGCTTCTTAATGGTTGTGATTGTGTGTGATTATTACTGTATTATATTGGCATTGCATCAGCAATTCATCGTATTCTCATGAGTAGGTAAAAATTTATTGTTAGTGGCGCTTTGGTGCCATAGAGATTGAAGAGTAGAGATATTGGCATGTAGTAAAGCTTCTTGGTAGATCTGTAGGCCACCTGCCACTTGAGCTGATCACCTCGTAGTGGGTAGTGGAAATCCTAGTCGTAGTTGACACGTATCTCTAAGAGGCATAATCATTTCCCTCCTGTATTTGCCCTTTGTACAGGAGAGAGATACTGCTTTCTAAATTGGGGGACCTATGGAACTCAGTAAGATATATTTGAATGGGAGTTGTGGCTTGGCAGGAGTTTAAAAGTGGACTCATGTTTTGAGGCATTGGTCACCTTCCTTCATGCAGATATGGAGGGTGCTGGAGTTTTCCAAGTTCAAACGGGCTATGGTATGTTTTATTTGAGGTTGGAGGATGAATATTTGTCTTTTTCCTTTTTGATTTCCCTTTTAAGCCTGGTAGCTAATTTTCTATTGTCTGGATGACTTTTTGGGATCAAGATATGATAAAATATAACTCTAGTGAGAACTTTTGCTGTTTTCAGAAACAGGGGTTAGTAGGTTTTGTCATTTTGGGTCTTCTCTCAGTAGAACTAAATTTAGCTTATTCATGTGATAATATTATTTTTGCCTCAAAAGCTGAACACTAGAAGTTCATATATTTCGTTCTCCTAACATCTGCTTAATGTTACATTCATTGTAGCAGATTGATTCCTAGAATCCTTTGTATCAATATCAAGTGCTTGTCCAAGCAAGAGGGGCATATCTCGGCATCTATCCTACCTTTTTTGGCTTTTTCACCAAAAAGACTTGATACTACGGTGGTTGTCTTGTGTATTGTTTGACATTCTGCATACTTTTCTGTACATGTATGACTACAACTGCCAATCTTTATAATTTAATACTTTACTCGACTCCATGATCTTGGAATGCTTCATTCCTTCCTTACCCCCCCTCTCTCTTTCTCTCTCTCACTCTTGGTTGTGGGCAGGGTGGTGTGTAATTTATGTACTTATAATGTAGCACATCAATTTTAAGGCTAACTATATCATTTTAAGCCACCATGTTTATGAATTAGTTTGTGTTTGATATTATAAGCTTGGTAACTGTTGGACTCTTTTGTGTGGTAATCGTTGGATTTTTACGAACTATAGCCTTAACAATACTGCTGTGAACTGTGATTTGACCCAGCAGCATGAGTTGTCTTTTCTTATATAGCAGAAGTCTCGTGCATCGGATCGCCTTTATTTAGTTCAACAGCTTTATGATTTAGTTGCATTGAGCTGGTCTCGTGTGGTAAATAACATTACTTCTGGGTTTATATGAAGAGAAGAAGACAGATAGAAAGAAAGAGTTATGTGATTAGAATGTCTAGGAATGGTGTGGCATTTTTTTGGCTGGATGTTTGTCTGCGTTTGATTATGATCAAATGTTTTCGATTTTTTCTATTACCTATAATACATTGGATCTGTTATTGATGCATCTGTGCACAACTTGAAAAACTTTAGGTGTAGGCTACGGGGTGCGCAAAGTTTTGGTGTTGACAATTAGTCCCACCACCTTGTGCCACTGGAACTGCTATGTATTCTGAAGTGTTGTATTGGTTGTCTTCTGTTCAAGATATGAAAACTTTGTGCTTGAAAAGTGAAACTGTTCACCTAATAGCTCGAATACACACAAACCAGAAAATAGTGATTTGATCTTTCGATCACTGATTTTTGGAAAACAATTTTTGGGGACTTCTGCATTGCACACAGAAAATTGGATTGCCTGAATTGTGAGTAGGGATGGTAGTGAATCGGAAAAAAATTAGTATTGTCTAAATTCGTCCCATTTGGACCGTGGGGTAGATTATGTGTATTAGACTGTGGAAATATACAAGGATACTTGTATAAATTCGTGCAGAGATAAAAGTGGAGAGGGATTGAAATTCATTCCTGTCCCACTAACAAATAAAATAATTTAGTAAAATATATATTTGTTATACATATTATTTTGTGAGTTTTTATGTTTGATTCATTTATTATATAATGAGTTTTTATAAATTTATTTGTGAGGTTTTATTATTTTTTTTTAAAAAAAAAATCTTAAAATCATAGAAATTAATTATTATAGGCGGAGACGGTGGCGGGACGGGGATCAAAATTTAACTGCGAGATGGGGACGAGGCTTAAAAATTTTTTTGTTAACGGGAGTGGACGAATATTTTTGAAAGGACGAATATTTTTGAAAGCAAATATGGGGGTGAAGACTATTTTTCCTTGCCTCTGCCCTACTCCACTATTATCCCTAATCACGAGTCATATATATTATATTACGATCACCTTTATTTTGAATTGTATGAATTATTTTGAAATTAAATAGCCAACACTACACAAATTAAAATGGCACGACCACATTATTGCATGTCTAGGTTGATATTTTCTTTCGGCTTACAGTATTATCGACAGTATCGTACTAAAAATTATAATTTTTTAAAAATAGATTATAATTTTTTTGAGATATAAGTTATAATTTTAATAAAAAGATTGGAATTGATATCAAATTTTTATGATAGATCATGGGTATTTGTAATCAATCATGGTCTTCCCTTGAATAATTATAACTTTTTTTTTCAATGTTATAACTTCATCCATAAAAAATAATAACCAAAGATATGATATGGAATATTTTTTTTAGGTACCGTAGAATTACCCTTTTCTTTCTCTTGGCTACCCTACTTTGTCTATGAGAGTCAACATGCCGGCATGATCTTGATATGCTTACGTTTCTTTTATTTTGTGTTGGATCTTCGTAAAAGGATATTCATATCGTCAAAATAAAGTGGGATCGATTTCGAAATGATAATGATTATGCTGTAAGTTTGGTTAAATAAGAAAAGACAGAGTCGAAGGATTGAGTTTGGTTTTGATTAGATTATGGTACTTTTAAGTATTTTGTAATTGTTTGGAATTATCCATTGGAAACTGCTGTGTGAGACTCGTATGTGTCTTTTCTTGTTAGGATTGTGTTCATATTTATAATTATTTATTATTAGAATTGATCTAGTCTTTCTCTTGTAATAGAATTTTATATTTGAAAAGTTGCTGGTTCGATTGAGACTATACTTAGTTTAATAGCTCAATTGAAATCAATAGTGTATCTTAAGTGACGAATGATATAATATCCGATCCGATGCGTAATGGTATTTTATCAAAAATTGAACAAATAATTTTTCTTTCCTTTTTTTTAAGATAATATAAAAATAATTAATATACATATAAATATATATGTTATTTTAATGAAATTGGATTAATATATATCCATATCTATATTTAATTTAAGATATTTAAATATATTCGGATCGAATTTGAATAAATAAATATAAATATTGATCTATGTCCGATTAAATGGATTTAGATTCGAATCAGATTCAAACTAAAATCTGATCAATTAACGGCCTAGTTGTACCTTTTCTAATTTCTGTTATTATAGTTTTTGTAAAACAACATTGTACGTGTACTAAGGTGGTGTTTGATAAAATTAAAAGTTGAACATTGAAAATTAAATACTGAATTTTTTAATTCGCAAACTGTTTAGTATCAACTGAAATTTATATATTGAATTTAATCAAATTATTTGACAAATATAAGAACCTGAAGTTTAAAAATTATTATTATTATAATTTTGTCATTTTTTAACTATCTTTCTACAACTGCCTTATTCTTATCACCACCATCACAATGGTGGTGGTAGTGGTAGCTACGACGATGGTGATAATGGCGACAACACAATGTAGTGGTGGAGGTGACATAATGGTAATGATGGTAGTGGTAGTGGTGGTGATGATGGCGGAGGTGGTGGCAACAGTGATAATGACGAAAACATAATAGTAGTGGTAGTGGGGGCACAATGGTGGTGGTGGCAACAACACTATGGTGGTGGTGGCAGTGACACAATTGTGGTAGTGGTGGCGACATAATGGTGGTGGTGGCGATGACAATGATAGTAGTGACACAATGGTGGTGGCGATGGCGGTGACACAATTATGGTGGTTATGGTAGTGACATAATGGTTGTGGTGGTGATGGTGACGGTGATGGTAGTAGTAGCGATGGCACAATAATGGTGGTAGTGGTGGTGGTGACAGCGACATGGTGGTGGTGGTGATGATGGTGGTGGCACAATAGTAGTGGTGGCGATAGCGATGGTGATAGAGATGATGATGGTGGCGGCAACACTATGATAGTGGTGGCGGTGACACAATGATAGTGGAGGTGGTGACGATAATGGTGATGGTAATGGTGACAATGATAATGGTAGTAGTGGTGACAATGATGGTAACGACAATGGTGATGGTAATGATAATGGTGGCGATGAATAATAATGGTGGTGGCGGTGTATAACGGTAGTGGTGACGACAACGATGATGGTGCTGACGGTGGCACAACAGTGTTGGTGGTAATAGTAGCGGCGACGGCGGTGGTGGTGATGAGACAATAGTAGTGAAAGTATATTTGTAATTATGAGAAATTGAAAAAATCCTTCATAACTAATATTTTCAGCATTAAGTGATAAGTATGTGATTTGTTATTTAAAATTTTAGCTTATTTTTAAAAAGTGTTTAAAATATTAAGTAATATGAGTATTATGTTATTGAAGAGGTTTAATTTATTAAGTACTTAAAGTATTCAGTTTTAAGTCTTAAATGATGTTATCAAACACTACTGATTCATGGTGGAAGAAAAGGTGAACAAGTCTTGCAGTTCGGAAACAAAACAAAATGAAAATGGTTCAGCATGTGATACATATATATAGACGGATTATCAAGTATATCTCGCCCTCTTCCATAAAAGATAAATTTTAGATATTTGTAATCGCCCGTAAATCACATGCATCATCAGCTAAATATTAGAGTAACTAACGAGAGTCGATCCCAAAACATTCTAATTTTTGGACACATTTTATTTATTCGTAAATCACGTTTGTATGTGAAACTCAAGAGTCACGAGTTAAACTCAAGACATTCGAGTTTAAGATACACCGCACGATTAACTTAGTTTGTCACGCTATTACAAACCAAACCAAACCAAACCATGGCACACTCCAACATTAATCTAAGACCAAACCAACTTTAGTTTTTGTTTATTAATGGTGATTTGGCACCATGATCAATCACAAGAATTATTTTCTGAACACTTTGCCGTGTGTCATTTACACTGTTCTTCAATTTGGTCGATGATGTAGAGAGAAACCTTTGAGAAAATTATAACAGAAAAAAGACAAGGCCCTTGGAATACCAGTTCTTCACCTACCCAAAGTAAGTTTATAAAAAGGCATGGAGTGTTGCTGACATGGTGTACAACTAGAGCTTTAGTCTTTCTCTCTCTCTCTCTCTTGCTCTCTGAAATGATGGAGAAGGTAGAAGAAGAGAAAGGGTATGTGCATGGAAGAGAAGATTACACACAGGATGGGACTGTGGATCTTAAGGGTAGACCTGTTTTAAGATCCAAAACTGGTAGATGGAGAGCTTGTTCCTTCATGCTAGGTAAGTAATTAATTAACCTAGCAGTTTTTTTAACAAGCGTCAGCCCACCACTCTTCTTCTCACATAAAACTCAGGCTCTCTCCTTAATGAACCTCAATTTCATGGCCAATATTCTGTTAATTAAACTTGTTGATTGACTGAAAATCACCACCTTTTCATTGATTGAGTATATCTTACCTAGTTTCTTCCTCGATACAGAGTAGTTTTTGGTCTAATAGTAAAAGTTATTTTGTTTTGACATGGTTACAAGCTCTCCATATGTGGGGTATAATCCATGGGAGATTCAAATTTTAGATTGCCATTTTTTCAATTTTCTTTGTCAAAACCCCGTTCAAATAAAGAAAAACTTTAAAGATTGCTTCAAAATAAGATTATTACTTTGACTTTTTCTTCGATCAGAACCGAAAGAAGGTGAGAGGAAAAGGGGATCCATATGTTCAATAAAGAAGCCCCGCTCCCTAAGGGGCTCCTCTTTGATAAGAAAAAAAACGAAATAATCTCAATTTTACTACAAATCCTGTCTAAAACTAAATCAGACTAATTCTTCACTTCTGTTGATAGATGTGTTATGAATTTGAATTACGAAAATATTCTATTTGTTCATAGTCTTTTTCTTTGCAAACTCAGTCAGACCAGACCATCTTCGGTTGATTCTTCATTTCTGTATACTTTTGTTCATATCCTAACATGTTCTTCTTCTACTTGTAATTAACACCCCATGCATGGGGGATATGATATTTTGAAAGGGTATGAAGTGTTTGAGAGGATGGCATATTATGGAATTGCATCAAATCTGGTGTTGTATCTGACAAGGAAGCTCCATGAAGGCACTGTAAAATCTTCAAACAATGTCACCAACTGGATTGGTACTGTGTGGATGACACCCTTGTTAGGTGCATATATTGCAGACACCCATCTCGGCCGCTACTGGACTTTCATGATTGCATCTGCCATTTACCTAGCGGTAAACATATACTACTACTCTCATTTCTTTTCAACCATTACATGCTATGAATTATCTCCCTCCACTGCATGAACGTGTGGTTGTATTTATCTCCATGCTGGAATCATGTATCATGTATACTCAAAACAGAATCAGATCCCTTTCGATTCTTTTTTCTTGATGGATCAGTAATTATTAAAGAGTGAGTAGTTCACTTATATACCGTGGAACTAGATCGGATGTACATTGGATTGGTTTATATCCGAATCCGATTAAATTTTTGCTGATCCAATCCGATCTGAGTATCCAATGAATTTGAAAAATTCAATCCATATTTGAATCCGTTAATTTTTTGATACTCGATATGAAAATTTGAACCGATCCGATTATCCAAAAGAACACATTTACACTAAAAATTTGACAATAAGAATTTTGATAATGAAAGAAGAAAAAAATGAAAAATTAAAGTAAAAATAAGAGGGAAAATCAAACAAGAGAGGTGGGGGAGGGGGAAGTAGGTCTTATATTGTGATATTCACTATATTTTTACTTATTTTCTAGTATAGGTATAATATATGTGTGATATTTATTTACATAATATATTTTTTTATTCGGATCAAAATAATAATGAATCAGATTATTATAAATTAATATCTGAATCCGTTTAGTGAATTACAGCCATTTTAATGACAAATGAGTGGCGGGTTAAAAAGATTGTTGTGTTAACCTGATCCAATTCGATTTATTTATTAAATGAGTCATCTCTTGTAATTCACTTAAAAAATGAATCATTTTCGGTTTAAAATTTACATTCATTTATTTAAACAAGTCGTATACAAGTTTACTATTTTTTTATATAAAATTGATTAGACTCGATTCGTAATCATTTTATCCGACACGATGGACATTTTTACGTATAAATAAGCCTCTTCGTCAGGTCGGGGTAGGGCAGGCCAGGCCAGGTCCACCATGAGTAAAGAGTCAATGGCCGACCATGGTACTAGTCTGCGTCGATGTTCATCTGGCCAGTATTAATGGACCAGTTTTTTAAAATTTAACTTAGTGCAGTTTTTTAAAATCCCTTGAAAATTTCTGAGCCAATGAGTTGTATAAAGAGCAACCCAGTGAACCGCCTTCATGGGCTTTTGTCGGGATAGCCTAACAATCGTGAGGGGGCCAAACTCACTGTTATATCGTGGGCCATCATTTGGCAAGTCAGCCCGGTCCATATAAAAGTCCAATAAAGGAGTCCAAAACCCTCATCCAGGTACAGATCTACAATGTGGGCAAACTACTCCCACTAAACTTTTTTAAAAAATTAAGATCTAGCTAAAATTTTGAAAATTTCAAAAATATCAGAATTTTGCCGCCATTGAAATTTTCATAAAGCATAGGATTAGTGAGTGTAATTTTCAAACATCAAAACATAACTTTGGTAGTCTTATTTTCCACACCCTTCGTCTTCGTCCAACTTCGACTCTCATTTCTTATCCTTTCTTCACCAGCTTCTCTTCTTTTCTTCCTTTACTATATTCATCAACAAATTGACATACTTGATTGTTAGCTCCCATCAAGTTCTCATTCCTCTTTTCAAATCTCAACAATGTTGGTCACAAGGTATTGTTTAGTCAAGCACCCACCATCTCAATCTTCCTAAAATAATATGTTACAAATCTACTCTATTATTGATTATTTGAGTGATTATTCTGATTCAAAATTATGCAAATCAACCTATGAAATCCATAATGAGAGCCCTACAAGATTTTATGGGAGCTGTCTAGAAGTATACCAATAACCCATTAAAGAATTCTAAAGATTTTCAGAGATTTTTTATATGTTGGAACGTGAGATTCATGACAAAATATAGTGATTTTTTTGTCAAACCATCGTTATCTATTAAGTGTTTGTTAAAATGCCACAGGTAAAAACTATTACAGAAACAATGATTGTGCATGAGCCATAAAAAAATTATGGACCACCCAAGATCAAAAGGGATGTAATTTTTAAATATTTTATTGAAACTACTGGAAATTAAAAAGAAATGGTTGGTCAATGTGTTGTTTTTTTTGGTAAGTACTAGTACTACTTTTTAAGCTAGCTTCATGATCCGCTATTAACTTAAGTCTGTGTAGTAGACTCATTGTAGCATTGCAATTCACATCAATGAAAATTGTTTGTTAACAAGTCAAGGATAAAGTATCGAATGATTAAAATTAGAGTATAATTAGAGCACTTAATAAGTTGTAAGTTTCTTCTACTACATAACCATCCTGGTTCCGCCCCCGCCCTCATCCAACCATTTCTTTCACACAGGGAATGTGCTTATTGACACTAGCAGTTTCATTGCCGGCCCTACGACCTCCATCTTGTGGGCACGACGTGAAAGAGGAAGATTGTGATAAACAGGCATCCTCATTGCAAGTTGGTGTTTTCTTCTGTGCTCTATACATCATTGCTCTAGGTACAGGTGGAACCAAGCCCAACATCTCAACCATGGGTGCAGACCAATTCGACGATTTTGAGCCCAAGGAAAAGGCCCATAAACTCTCATTCTTCAACTGGTGGATGTTCAGCATCTTCCTTGGCACCCTCTTCTCTAACACCTTCTTAATTTACATACAAGATAATGTGGGCTGGACCGTAGGTTATGCCCTTCCAGCAGTTGGGCTTGGAGTGTCAATAGCAATGTTCATAGTCGGCTCACGCTACTACAGACACAAGCCCATGACGGAAAGCCCATTGACTCGGATGGCCAAGGTTCTTGTGGCCGCAGTTAGGAAATGGAATGTGGTTGTGCCCAATGACCCGAAAGAGCTTCATGAGCTGAGCTTGGATGAGTACTCCACCACTGGCAAGCTCCGAATCGACCACACACCCTCATTAAGGTTTGTCTCTCTAGCTTCATGAGCAATGGAATTGTATCTACATCCCCCTAATTATTTTCACTATGCCCCGGCAAAATGGCCCGAAGCCCGCCCATCCACTTGACGACACGTGGACAACTGATAAGACTATAAATTATTGGATTTTTTTTTTAGTCGGTACATTTTCTACCATTTATTTGACTTTAAGTGTAAATTTAAATTTTTTTTAACAAAAATGACACTTTAGAGCAGAATGACTGAATTACCTATAACATCATCACAGTTATTATTGAAAAATCAAATAAAGAAACCGATTAATTTGAAAATTAAAAATCTTAAATTGTAGAATTCTCAATTAATTTAAAAACTAAAACTCTTAAATTTTAAAATTCTCTCTCTCTCTCTCTCTCTCTCTCTCTCTCTATATATATATATATATATATATATATATAAAATATCAGCTAGCAAATTAAATGTTATCCCCTATATATTTTTTCTCCCAAAAAATATCACATCACCTAATTATATCACATGTTTAATTATTTAATATTTAATTAATTTATACTTTAACACAATTTTTATTTCATATATTATTCATGCACAATAATATACACATGTTAAAAAATTATATCGAGTTATGTATTTTAAAAAAAAATTGACTTTATTTTTAATAAAATAATAGGTAATTTTAAATGATGAGCAAAGAAATTAATTTTAAATTTAATATAGTGGAATCAATTTTTTGAACGCTAGAATTTTATATTTCATAGTGTGGGTTATGACTAATATATATATACAACTCGTCAGCCTGATGAGATTAAAAACAAAATATTGAAGCCCAAAAATAAATAAATAAATTTTTTAATGGATTTTTTGTGGTTGGTCCAATGACACTCCTTAAAGGCCCATTAAAGCTAGCCATGGGCAGTAAAATATTAGGACGGCGTGTGCCCTTGACCAGGCCATTGAGAAAATATTTGTGGTATGAACGACGAATAATAAAATACCAAATGAGTAAGATAGTTATTGGATTGATTATTATTTTTTATAGAATTTATTTATTTATTTATTTTAATATAATTGGTCAGTGATATAACTTGTCCTCGCGTGGCCCACTACTGAACCTTAATTTTGACCCATTCACATTTCTAAAAAGCTAACCATTGCATTGCCCACAGGCTCCTAGACAAAGCAGCTGTAGATAGCAGCGGGCCAAGGTCAGAATGGACGCTATGTCCAGTGACCCAAGTTGAAGAAACCAAGCAGATGATAAAAATGATACCAATCTTGATAGCAACCTTCATACCTAGCACCATGGTAGCACAGGTTAACACCCTCTTCATCAAGCAAGGCACCACATTGCACCGAAGCATCGGCCCGCACTTCGAGATTCCTCCGGCCTGTCTCCAAGCATTTGTGACAATCTTCATGCTCACCAGCATTGTCATCTACGATAGGTTCTTCGTTCCGTTCATTCGTGGATACACCAAAAATCCCAGAGGAATCACACTGCTACAAAGAATGGGAATTGGCCTTGTGTTACATGTCATCATAATGCTTATTGCTTGCTTTGCAGAAAGAAAAAGACTAAGTGTTGCAAAAGAACATGGAATTTTTGGGAAAAAACAAGTAGTTCCTCTCTCTATTTTCATTCTTCTCCCTCAATTTGCTCTCATGGGTGTGGCTGATAACTTCTTAGAAGTTGCAAAACTCGAGTTTTTCTACGATCAAGCGCCCGAAGGAATGAAGAGTTTGGGCACTGCCTATTTCACAACCAGTTTGGGAGTTGGTTTTTTTCTCAGCAGTTTTTTTCTGTCAACTGTGGCTGATATCACCCAGAGGAATGGTCACAGAGGGTGGATTTTGGATAATTTGAATCTCTCTCATTTGGACTATTACTATGTTTTTTTTGCTATCTTGAGCTTTATCAACTTCCTCTTTTTTCTGGTTGTGGCAAAGTTGTTTGTTTATAACACAGACATGGAGGAGTCCAATACGGAGATACAGGAAGCTATGGAGGCTTTGCCTAAGAAAGTTAGCTACTAGATGATAATGCCTTGACAATTAGCTGAGCTCATAGTTATAATACTTGTAACTTCCTTTGCTTCTTGAAATATTGATCATATACGAGCTGGTCATCCCATCCACTCTTCAAAAGGTTAAGTTCTTTTGGAGGTGGTATTTAGACTTAAACTTATTGGTCTTTTTGAATTCTTGTGATAGTAATATAATGTTGTATCAAAATATATATGTATCCCCTTGTCTATAATCAAAAAAATATTCAAGCGGGTCAAATTGTTATGTTTGTGAAGTTTATGATCTTTGTTGAGTCTATATATTCAAAATCATACCATCTATTATAACTAGATTATGTTGCCATCACATTGCTTGGTTCTACTTCTCCCAATAAAATTTTAATTTAATAATATATCCTATTATTTAGAGATATTAAAATATAACACGATTCGATAANATCATGAAATTTTATAAGGCATTGAGATAACAAGTTAATATCTAATTTTTAGGGTTGTTTAGTAGTCAAGTCTGTCTTTCTGTAAGTAATAGGTCTCAAGTTCGATATTTTTCATATTCTCTAAAGGTTAGTCACCCTTATTTCTTCCTTGAGGTGGCAGGATCAAAGCTCAAAAGAATTGTCGGTAGTAGACACTTTATAATAATAATAATAATAATAAAAGTTAATATCTTAAATCTTTTCTGGTTCTACTTCTCCCAATAAAATTTTAATTTAATAATATATCCTATTATTTAGAGATATTAAAATATAACACGATTCGCTAATATTACACAATTATAATATAAAATCTAGTGTGTGAGTATTTTATAAGCCGAAATNGTTCTACTTCTCCCAATAAAATTTTAATTTAATAATATATCCTATTATTTAGAGATATTAAAATATAACACGATTCGATAATATTACACAATTATAATATAAAATCTAGTGTGTGAGTATTTTATAAGCCGAAATGACTTCATTAATAATTGAATCATATATATGTAAAATCAATCAAAAAAATAGAAAAAAAATTACCAATTAGTATTATTTTTTACCACAAAAATTCATCAAGTCTTATCAATTTTATTTTATATCAATGAAGTCCTATTCTTAATATTTTATTTCAATTAAGTCCTAAATTTTATTATATTTTAATTTTATCCTTACCCTTTAATTAATAAAACGTTTTCATTTTTTTGCATTCTTAGAACCAATTAAGAGGACAAAAATTTCTTACTTATAAAACTAACATTAAAACCCCATAAATATAACAAAAAAAAAAATTAGCTAACATAAATTGCATGGCAAGATTCATGGAAAAGCCCACATTTTCTTATTTTTTTATCTCATTGGAGTACTCAATTTTAAAATCTAAGACAATATTTGTCGATTATTTAATAAAATAAAAAAAGTTTAACAAAAATTACATCGATAATATTTATTAATTAATTCCACTTTAATATCGTTATCGATTCAAACACAACAATTAAAATAAATTCTTAACTTAATCATTTTTAGTCCAATATAAATGAATAGAATAATTTAAACCCAATGAGATAATGTATCAATAGAATCTACAATACAATAATATTATCTTAATCGAAGTAAGAATTAACTTGTTGTAATAAGAGAACGCATCACATAGCAATTGAAATATCCTAGGGGTGTGCTGCCGAAATTGACATATCAGAAAGAATGCCAAGTCACATAGCAATTGAAATGCTTTGAGTTTGTATTGTTGTGTTGACCTAAGAATACAAAAAAAATATAAGTATTTTGGTAACTAAGGGTAAAAATACAATTGAAATATAATTGAATTAGGACTTAATTAAAATAATATTAAAAATAAGNCTGAGTTTGTATTGTTGTGTTGACATAAGAATACAAAAAAAATAAAAGTATTTTGGTAACTAAGGGTAAAAATACAATTGAAATATAATTGAATTAGGACTTNTTGAGTTTGTATTGTTGTGTTGACCTAAGAATACAAAAAAAATATAAGTATTTTGGTAACTAAGGGTAAAAATACAATTGAAATATAATTGAATTAGGACTTAATTAAAATAATATTAAAAATAAGACTTCATTAATATAAAACAAAAATGATAAGATTTAATAAATATTTTGTAGTGAAAAATAATACTTATTAATAATTTTCTCAAAAAATAAAATTATTTATTAAATACGAATTAATAAATAAATTAAATATAAATAACCATATCAGGTCAGACCCACCGTCAATTCAAGAAATTAGTTCCGATTAGTATCTCGATTTAAAGTAGAGATAATGAGATATGAATACTTTTTACAAAACTTATTTGGCTTTAAGTACTATCTCTAAACTTATCTTTTTTTAAGTCCTATTTTTCATCAAATAATTGTCAATAAGTACACATTTTAAAACATTTTCAAATTCTTTTTGAAATGTATTCCATAATTACTCCTACCATAAATAGTACATACCTAATTGACAACTTTTATATTTTCAATACCTAAATATTAGAATGTGAGATTTTCAAGATTCCTTTTGATATTTGTGTTTTTTTTTAATTTTGAAATTTCATACACACACACACATATATGTAGTACTATTAACTAATAACACTCAATAAAAAATAGTAACATCAAACAATAACACGCTCAAAAAAAAATAGTAACATCAAACAGTAACACGTTCAACAAAAAAATAGTAACATCAAACAGTAACATATTCAATAAAAAATTTAATTTAAAATTTAATCATTGCAATAGAGTGAAACCATATGCAAGTATTTATTCTGTTATGAGGGTGTCACTCTATTACAACGATTAAATATTTGTTGAGCATGTTACTGTTTGATATTATTATTTTTTTATTGAGCATTTTACTATTTTTTTGCTAAGCATGTTGTTATTTTGATGTTATTATTTTTTTTTTGTTGAATATGTTATTGTTTAATGTTAATATTTTTTTTGTTGAGCGTGTTACTGTTTAATATTTACTATTTTTTATGTTGAGTGTGTTACTGTTTGATGTTATTATTTTTATGTTGAGCGTGTTAATGTTTAATATTAGTGTGTATATATATATATATTATTTGATGGTGAGGATTGAAATTACAAAATCTTTGGAATTCAAAAAGTTTTAGGAAAGGTTTGGTTTTGGAAATTGTCACGACTCTTTGGTACTATTGATTTCCAAAATTAGAGGTCTCTTCATCTTCCTCGTCTAAAAGGGTTTTTATGACCTTTTTTTAGCAGATGTATTTCTATTCCATATATTTTAAAATGTGTACTTTTGTCGTATTAAGTTTTTAGATAGATACCGGTCTCCCTAAGACCCGCACTGTTATATAACCCAAATCTATAACTTAAATTTGCATCTCAAATAAAGGGACCATTGGATCAACAAGTCTTGTTTAAAAAAGAGAAATACTATGTAATCCAAATTTGCAATCCAAATTTACATCCCAAATGAATGAGAATTATTGGATGAGTAAGTTCCATCAACTTTTTTAAATGAGACCCACTAATTTAATGGTTCTCCTTTATTTTGGATACAAATTTAGGTTATATACCATTGCTCTTAAAAAAATTGATAGAATTCACTCATTCAATTGTCTCTTCATTTGGGAAGAAACTTTAGATCGCAAATTTGAAGGTATGTTTGGATAGTGGGATAAGGTGGGTTAACTCCTATAAGAATTGGTTATTAATGCAATAGGTCCCATATATCTTTTGTTTGAGAAGCCAAAATTGAGCCAGGATATAAATCCCGGGTCAAACATTGACCCGGTTGCTACAGTTAGATGGGTTAAAATTAACCTACCCCCACCCTGGGATTCAATCTTAGCCAACAGGTTTTTTTATAAATAATGACATATTTACCCCTCTTCTATCTCGTGTAATGTTCCATTCTCTTTCTTCTACATCTGGGTTAAGAGCTTTGTTTAAGAGCTTTGTGAAGGTGGTGAAGAAGACCAGGAGGTAAAGCATCTGGGTCTCTCTTTCTCTTTGCTTGACTGGAGTACTATTACGACAATGGGGTGGGGTTGGGCACTGGTGGTAAAACAAAATCAGTGCAATTTGTTTTTGAATTCATCCCTAATTTGCAAAAAAATTAAAAACAAACAACACCTAAGTGCAATTTATTTTTGCTTCTGGTTGTTCTTCAATAGTCATGCATGAGAGAGAGAAAGGAGGAGGAGAGAGTGAGACAGAGCCGAGGGAAAGATATGAGATAAAGGAGTTGCTTTTGGCTCATTTGTGAATTGAAGGGAGGAGAAAAAAGGGTCTTAGAGTAGAGAGGGGAAGTTGAAGACCGCCTGCTTTTGGACGAAGAAGATTGCCTGCTTTTAGATGAAGAAGACTGCCTACTTTGAGATTCACAGAGGAGAGAAAGGAGTCTAAAGGATAAAATGGTTAAAATAATTTAAATAATATTTTTGACATATTCATAACCATAGAGCCTACAAAAGTGAAAAACTACTTACCAAACAACGGGTAGAGCATGATATGTCATTATATCCAAACTAATACAAGTAAAAGGTGGGTTAGGCATGGATGAAAATGGATATAAATTTGAGGGGTGTTTGTTTCGCAGGATAAAGGGGGATTAAAGGGGGGATTGGGTTAAAGTTGTCAATAGGGCCCACTTATCCTTACTTTGGCTATGTAAAGTTGGGTGGGATTTTCGTTGCAATTGAAAAACTCGGTCGTAGCTTTTGCACCCCAATATCCCCTCTAAGCTAGACTATTGAAACCCATGAAAACTTTGGGATTAACAAGCTCTCACTGAGATTGGTCCTGAAATTACTAAAACAACCCTCAACGATAATTTTTTAGGTTTTATCTACCGTCTCTTGTCACTTTCCTCTATCCCAAGCTACACAGACAACACCTCCACCAGCGACCAAGCACCACCAGCAACAGTAACCAAGCACCACCAGCGCCCCACCCTTTTTCTATCTGCCTCTCCATTGCAACGCCACCACGAACAGCACCACAAGCATCGGTGTCATTTGCTCTCGCTTGGCTCTCTTTCTCCTTCTCTCATCACTTTCCTCTCTCCTTCCCTACATAAATCCACCATCATCAGCGACCAAGCACCACCAGCGCCCCACCCCTTTTTTATCTGTCTCTCCACTGCAACACCACCGTCATCGCAAACATCACTTGCGCCATCTCCAACACCAGTAAACCCCCCTCTCTCTCTCTCTATATCAGCTATTCTTCCCCTCACATTCCTCTCCTTTATCTCTATTAAATGCACACACACAAAAACCCCAAATCCAAATCCCCCCTAACTATCTATTTTCCCTGCCCAAACCCCCTCAATTTCCTCCCCCCCAAAAGGTCAACCCACCATAGGCATTGATCACCATATCATACATAGATCCACCATTCTCTGTCATAGTGAACGTAGTGTTTGTCAAATACTTGTGGATTGTTAAAGCACAAGAACAGTTCTTCGAATAAAAACATAGCCTCTGTCACTACCCTCGATGGTTATATCTTCGGGTAAGACATCAAACATGTTTTGAAGTACAGATAGGGTCTGGTTTGAATTGGGTTTGAAGCCCAAGAATGATGTACACAATCAAGTGATGTCCGTTTAATTCAAAGGAGTTAGGTATGAAGAACAGAGGGTAAGCAATACATGAAATATGAATAGTAGAAACGGAGTGAAGAGATGGGTCTATGCAAGATTCATTGTTTGATGAAAATATTGAATCTTTGCTAAATTTGATGGAATATGATTTGCTCTACATAGTCAGAAAAAGAATGGTAGTGGAATTTGGAGAAAGATTGAGAAACAGAGGGACATGGATGTAATGATAGTTTTGAGAGTGGGATGAATTGAAAAAGGGGTTTAGAAGATCAGCAAATTTGAGTGGGGGTATTTGGAGGAGGAAGAGGATGAGGTATTTGGATTTTGGAAGACCAGCTCCGGTTCTGTTTTTGGTTGTTTTAACTGGGCAATTCATATGTTTTTTTGTGATAAATTGTGTTGTATAAAATTCAATTAAAAATTTTAAAAATAATTTTTTGGCTTTGTTTTGTTAAAAAACATAATTTATTAAATTAAAATTTTATTCAAAACTAATTACCTAATCATTCTCAGTTTGGATTGACATTATATCAATTTAAAGTTGGTATAAAATTAGATTAAATTTTTTACCAAGGGTGCAATAGTCATTTCACCATCTTTTCTCTACACCTGTAAATGGGCCAACAAAACAAATATTTTTCATCCAAAAGTGAGATAGGATGAGATTCTATTTATTAGGATTGAATCAACTTGGATTATTTTACATTGGGATGGATTGGATTCGGATTAAATCCAATCCAACCCAATACCCCATGGGTAACCAAACACCCCCTGATATCCAATCCGATGCTTTCCGAACATCCAAACACTCCCATAGTGCTTCCCCTCGATTTATCGCCTCAAAACCCTATCAAAACCTTGCTCGTCTTACTCAACCCTTCGTTCCATCTTCACAAAACAATGGCAGCAACCATAGCCCGATCAATCCTGACCGTCCGTTCAGCGTCATCGTCCTACTCCTTCCTCTCCAAACGCCTTCTCTCTTCCACTTCCACCATTGCCAAACCCCCACCCCTCCCGGGCTTCGCCCGAACCACCACCGTCACCCGTTCCACGGTCTCACTCTCTAACTTGCTCCGATTCGCCCATCCCTGCGCGGTTCGATTGAACCCCGTTCGATGCAGAGTGAACCGGTCTGGTGGGTCGACTTATTCGCCGATCAACTCTTCCTCCAACTTCGGCGAACGCCCACCCACCGAGTTGGCTCCGTTGTTTCCAGGTTGTGACTACGAGCACTGGCTTATTGTCATGGATAAGCCTGGTGGTGAAGGTGCTTCGAAGCAGCAGATGATCGATTGCTACATTCAAACCCTAGCTAAGATAGTTGGAAGGTAGATCGAAACTTTAACCACGGAAAATAGGGTATTTATTTTTCAGATTTGTGTATATTTGTATGTGTATTTCGTTATTCCTGTTTCGGCATTGAGTGGTTACCCTGGACCTAATGCGCATATTAATGTGTGTGTATGAGTGAGAGGTAGAGAAATGTGGGGTTGGGGGTAGAGTCTGTTGAAGTGTAAATACGAAAAGCTCCAATTGCTTGGTATTTGAGCAGGAACTCCTGTGTCGAATCACGCAATTACCCTAATTATTAAAAGATTTTCACGTTCTTGATTCAAAATCTAGCCTGCATGTCAGGGGCGTTAGACTTTTGCATGTTGTGAAGTTCAGGGTTTATGCATACTACATTAAAAATAGGTTTTTGCTTTGTCTCTCTGAGTAAGGGTACGATTAGACAAACTCAGGATATGCGATCCCAGGATTGATATTACTTATTTTGTTTTCATTCACAGTGCCTCTGAATCCATCCGACTATCTTCAGTTGTGGTATTCATCTTTAAAGAAAAAATGGAGATACTTTTGATATATGTAACAAAAAAGTAACAAACTACTATTCACGATATTGTACATCTTTCCCATCTCTTCTCAAGAAACAAGTGGTTTGATGTCCAATGAAATGATTTTTTTTTTTTTTTGCTTTTCAAGGTTTGCAATTAAACTTGGGTCATATATGAGCCAGTATTTTGGCTTATTATGGATGTATGTGATTAATGAGCCGCACACATCCATAATAAGTCAAAGAATAATTTCATATGTTTCCTGATCTCGGTCAAGGGATAGAGATCATTGGTGGGACTTTGGAGACTTGGAATTGAGGAAAAAATAGTTAAAGCGCTAATCTTCTCGATTTCCATTTGTAATGCCCAATTTCATGCTCACAAATGCTAGTAAGGGGAAACTGAAATGATTTCACTTCGGCATTGGAAAACGTCCTAATAGAATTCCTAGCATTCTGTTTTCTAAATGACGCGAATTGTTATATGAATTATTTGAATGCCTAACTTCATAGTTTNTCACGATATTGTACATCTTTCCCATCTCTTCTCAAGAAACAAGTGGTTTGATGTCCAATGAAATGATTTTTTTTTTTTTTTGCTTTTCAAGGTTTGCAATTAAACTTGGGTCATATATGAGCCAGTATTTTGGCTTATTATGGATGTATGTGATTAATGAGCCGCACACATCCATAATAAGTCAAAGAATAATTTCATATGTTTCCTGATCTCGGTCAAGGGATAGAGATCATTGGTGGGACTTTGGAGACTTGGAATTGAGGAAAAAATAGTTAAAGCGCTAATCTTCTCGATTTCCATTTGTAATGCCCAATTTCATGCTCACAAATGCTAGTAAGGGGAAACTGAAATGATTTCACTTCGGCATTGGAAAACGTCCTAATAGAATTCCTAGCATTCTGTTTTCTAAATGACGCGAATTGTTATATGAATTATTTGAATGCCTAACTTCATAGTTTTTGATGTGTGGAAGATTTTGTGGTTTATTTCTCTGTAGTTTTATAATGGGGGTAAGAATTCTGAGATTATTAGTAATGCTATTTTGGTGGCTGTGATATATCAGTGAAGAGGAAGCAAAGAAGAAGATTTACAATGTTTCTTGCGAGAGGTACTTCGGGTTTGGATGCGAGATTGACGAGGAAACTTCAAATAAGCTTGAAGGTTTGTGTTAGTTCCATATTGATATTTATTTAGTAGATATATACAATGGGATTACTTTTGTTTTGAATTGTCAGATTATTACCATCGTTTTACAGGTTTGCCTGGAGTTCTTTTTGTACTTCCTGATTCTTATGTCGATGCTGAGAACAAGGATTATGGAGGTTAGTCTTCTATAAAATTAAAGGAGTATGTTAATAGATTCTAACGGTGTTTAACCAAGNTCAGGGGCGTTAGACTTTTGCATGTTGTGAAGTTCAGGGTTTATGCATACTACATTAAAAATAGGTTTTTGCTTTGTCTCTCTGAGTAAGGGTACGATTAGACAAACTCAGGATATGCGATCCCAGGATTGATATTACTTATTTTGTTTTCATTCACAGTGCCTCTGAATCCATCCGACTATCTTCAGTTGTGGTATTCATCTTTAAAGAAAAAATGGAGATACTTTTGATATATGTAACAAAAAAGTAACAAACTACTATCCACGATATTGTACATCTTTCCCATCTCTTCTCAAGAAACAAATCTCAAGAAACAAGTGGTTTGATGTCCAATGAAATGATTTTTTTTTTTTTGGCTTTTCAAGGTTTGCAATTAAACTTGGGTCATATATGAGCCAGTATTTTGGCTTATTATGGATGTATGTGATTAATGAGCCGCACACATCCATAATAAGTCAAAGAATAATTTCATATGTTTCCTGATCTCGGTCAAGGGATAGAGATCATTGTTTGGACTTTGGAGACTTGGAATTGAGGAAAAAATAGGTAAAGCGCTAATCTTCTCGATTTCCATTTGTAATGCCCAATTTCATGCTCACAAATGCTAGTAAGGGGAAACTGAAATGATTTCACTTCGGCATTGGAAAACGTCCTAATAGAATTCCTAGCATTCTGTTTTCTAAATGACGCGAATTGTTATATGAATTATTTGAATGCCTAACTTCATAGTTTTTGATGTGTGGAAGATTTTGTGGTTTATTTTTCGGTAGTTTTATAATGGGGGTAAGAATTCTGAGATTATTAGTAATGCTATTTTGGTGGCTGTGATATATCAGTGAAGAGGAAGCAAAGAAGAAGATTTACAATGTTTCTTGCGAGAGGTACTTCGGGTTTGGATGCGAGATTGACGAGGAAACTTCAAATAAGCTTGAAGGTTTGTGTTAGTTCCATATTGATATTTATTTAGTAGATATATACAATGGGATTACTTTTGTTTTGAATTGTCAGATTATTACCATCGTTTTACAGGTTTGCCTGGAGTTCTTTTTGTACTTCCTGATTCTTATGTCGATGCTGAGAACAAGGATTATGGAGGTTAGTCTTCTATAAAATTAAAGGAGTATGTTAATAGATTCTAACGGTGTTTAACCAAGAGTTTTGGACTGTCTGGCATTGTCTATCATTAGATGACTGCATTTCATTTTAGTGCTGTGTTCTTTCGGTGTTCTGCCTATTTGTGTTACCATGCATTAAGTTAATTCTGATGGTTAAGATGGAATAGAAATGCCTTGTTTATATTTAATATTGTGAAGGTGTACTCAAAGTTGAAAATAAAAGGCTTTTATGCAATGTTTACTTGAGTAGTTAATATCCATTTCTGTTAAGGACTTCTTGAGGCACAAAGGTTGAGGAGCAGATTGAAGCGTTTTTTTTTTCCTTCTGGGATTCTTCAAATCATAGAGATTAAACATGATGCTCTGCATGACTTTTCCCTTGTGGACAAAACTATAGCAAGGACCTCCAAAGGATAAACAAGAATGTTTAGAGCCAACTTCAAAAAGTTGTAGATCTTGGATCGCATTGTGGGATCACATGGACTTCAATTTGGGCCTGCCTAGTGCGTGGCCCTTCTTTGGTGAGTCTATGTGTAGATCTTGAATTCGAGTTTCATTGTGGGATCACACAGACTTCAGCTTGGCCCTGCCTATTGCATGGCCCTTGTTGGGTGAGTCTATGTCTTTGGGAAATAGTCATCTACTCCAAATGTCCAAAAACCCTCATCTAGACCTCGTACCTTGCTGAAGACAAATGATAAGCTTCTCGTGGGAGTCTTGGCTTTTTCCTTTGACATGCAGTAAAGAGATTTTTTTTCTTCAGAAAATCAATTACAGATTATTAATCAAATATGTAATCTTGAAGATTTTTAAGGAGGGGAATTGTTCTAGTGTTCACCCACAAAGGAGAAGATAATATACAAATTGAAAATGCAAAAAGATCAGAAATGCATTGGAGGGGAATTGTTCTAGTGTTCATCATTTTTATTTGCAGTTGTTTAAACCATATTGATTTTCCATTAACAAATATTTGTCTACGCTTTGAATATGGATGTAATTGTGGGCAGACGTAAGCAAGCGTTATTTCATTTATGGCAGCTCTGCACCTAATATTCACCTTCCCTCCAAGTTAAAGAAACACTTGAATGATTCTGATCATCTTTGCTCTCATGATTTGCCAGCTGAGCTGTTTGTGAATGGAGAGATAGTTCAAAGGTCTCCTGAAAGACAAAGGAGAGTGGAGCCAGTGCCCCAGCAACATCGAGACAGGCCAAGATACAATGACCGAACCCGCTATGCCAGGCGCCGTGAGAATATGCGGTGAACCAGAAACCCCACTCGAGTGAAGATATTGACTGTCAGCTAGATAATTAGGATGAAAAGCTTCGTTATGATGTGGTTGTATCTATATTATCATGTTGATGTTAGAGTGTGCTTGGTGTTTATTGGACAATAGCTGAATGAACTTGAACTTTCTCAATATCAGGCACTTCTGGGCCATTGTGAATCTGTGATAGTTCTTGATCTGTAAAACTCATGGCTGGCATTTCTTGTCCGGTCTGTTACCTTGAACACACACATATGTGCCTTTAACACGCTCCCTTGGTATGTGAACCTCGTGCTCGGGCAGGGATGTTGATTGGGCCCCATCATGGCCTTGACAATTAGGGTACAATTCGGACGGATTAGACAAATAACTTTAGGTATATAATCTTTATCTCTATTCTTAATCCTAACTCAACCCGAGCATTGTTTGAGCTTAATTCGAGCGAACTTGGGTTAAATTCGGGTTAATAACTTCAAGCTATTTTACGGGTTTAATTTGGGTTGAGCTTAAAATAGACTTGTTGTTTTAAATCTGATAAATATATTACATAATATTCAACTAAATTAACAACTAACAATTTTAATCACGTTTTTAACATAAAAATTATAATATTAAGAACTCAATATTTGAGATAATGCAATTATAACCATACATAACACAAATAAACACAACCAGAATCCTTGTACAAACATATAGTTCACTGCTTAAATACTGAGTGAGAGAGGCGCACAATAAAAATTTCAAAATAGATTAACCCTAGATTTAAAAATGTATTTATATGATTATGAATATTCAGGTTTAATCCGGTAATTCGAGGGGTCAACACGAGGCCCGCTCAAATTGAATTTTAGTTGGAATTTTTTTATCCAAACTTAACCCAAGAATTAAAAAACCTAACTCAAACCGTAATCTTTTCATATTGGACTCGGATTGAAATCGGGTTAGTCCGTCCAAATTACACCCCTATTGACAATTCCCGAAACATGTACCATGTAAATGGGAAACACAAAGAAGGCGTTTGGATCGCCATGGGTGAATTAGGTTGAATTCGAATCCAATCCAACCCAATGTAAAGTAGTCCAGTTGGAATCAATTATAATGTAAAGTATTTCATTATATCCCATCTTTGGATGAAAACCATTTGGTTTGTGAGTTTTAGTCGCATGTGAGGATGGAAGATACTAAAATGATCATTGCACTATTTTGTAAATAAATATAATCTAATCCAATACTAACTTTGGATTGAAATGATGTCAATCAAATTCAATAATATTGCTAAGTTTTGAAAAAAAATTAATTCAATAAATTATGATTTTTTGCAACACAGCCAAAAATATGTTTATAATTTTTTTTAATTGTATTATGTACAATACACAATTCATCAGAAAATTATATGAATCATGCATCAAAAGTAAATGTACAGCACAAAAAATACTACTTATAGATAAAAAAAAAGAAAGCATAATGATAAGAGATTAGGTCCCTGTTATACATACGTTTTATACATTGTCTACAAATTGCATATTTGAAGACCCTCCACAACAAAATAAGACAATATGATTAATGTTTTTAATATGACATAAATACATATATATGCCTTGTACGACGAGCATACAAAATACAGGCAATACAAAATGTGATTATACATCAGTTTGTTCCACAAGTATAGTTATATATATACCAAAATGACTTGTAGATATTATCGTGAGTTCTGTACGAGTTAGGGATAATTGCAACAAATCAATCATCAATGATTATGACATCAAATTTTGCTCTAGAGTTAACTGATTGGGACGATCCTACACTTTTTGAAGGTTGGGTGCTTGATAAAAGAACATCATTTTTGAAAATAACTTCAAAAATTTGGTAGTTGGGATAGGAATGTAGACAATACTCCGCAACAAATTCTACTTCTTGCATTACGTAGTCAATAAAACTATAAAAATAAAATGTTTGATAGTCAAAGGAAACAAAAAAAAAAAAATGTACGTACTTTCGATTGAAATTAATGAAGTACACTTACTTCCAAATATTCGTCTGATCCCTCCACCAAACCTTATATCATACATTTGGTTCGATTATCCCATGCAAATTTGCCCATCTCCAACATCTCAGCAATGGTGAAATACTGTCGTTCCCAAAAAAATATTATCCGTAAAACCTCGTTCAATGAGAGGCTAAATCGTGGCATACTCCTATGTAGGACATGTAACATTCAATCAATCGTCTTCTTGTCATACCTCTCGTATGGAGGTAACAAGTTGTGATTTTTGTAGTCAATCAAAGTGTCTAGAACTTTTGTTTCATCATCATTGATGTTTGGTATCTTCATGCCTAAGTAACAAAATAACAACTTCATATTAGCTGCAAAATCCAAACATTAGATTTATCAACGCATGTATTGCTAAAAATGGTAAATTAAAACACACATGTAATTTCATTCTACCCAGATTGACAAGCATCAATTCTACATTACAAATCACTTACATACCTACATATTTATCTATTTTCTCATTTCTAACTAGTGATTAAAAATGGCATAAGTGCACAGATAACATAAGTATAGTATTACAAAAAGGTCAACATTCATCCAACTCTACCCAACTAGTAGTACATAACATGGGTGAGTATTACACTCAAAATCAACATCATTACATTTATCATGCACCACATAATATCTCGTTGATATCTATATCTTTGTACGACGATAAGGACTTGTACATCATCTTCCATTGCATTTTCTTCATTAATATTGTGTAACGTTGCATTTTCCTCCACTGCAACATCATCACCAACAAATAAGACACTCCGCTTATGAACGGCACTCCGCTTATGAACGGTAAATTTCTACCTATTGGCCAACAAATAAGACATATCACCGTTCGCGCCTGTGCATTGCTACAGAAATTGTAAAATTGCGTGTTAATGACCAAAAGTGAAAAACATGATATGCATGGGAGCCTAGAAATATCATATTTCACAACCAAGAATTACATGTGATGAAGCATACAAATCATTAAATAAGTGCCCTAAAAATGCTTACATCCAAAATGTAATTATGCATGTTATAGTCATGCACAATTGACATCCAAAAAATGTAAGCACAACCAACATATGGGCCTGTTACCTAAATGTGTCCTTACAACATAATTATACTACGTAATACAAGTTCAACACAAAATATTAGGTGAGTGTTTTAAGTGGTTCGTCATGTGATACACTGTCATCTCGATCAAGTACGCAGTGTGTTCCACAAAATTCCTCCAACCCAAGTAGAACGCTAGTACTCAGGCAAGCTGAAGAAGATGTCAACATTGATAGGGTCAGAACAAATAAGCTTAAGGGCAGCATGTCGATTTACCATAGACAGACCATTTATCTTCTCTAGTTCGGTGTTGACTTTTCTCCGTGCAACAGCGACANCTAAGTTTTGAAAAAAAATTAATTCAATAAATTATGATTTTTTGCAACACAGCCAAAAATATGTTTATAATTTTTTTTAATTGTATTATGTACAATACACAATTCATCAGAAAATTATATGAATCATGCATCAAAAGTAAATGTACAGCACAAAAAATACTACTTATAGATAAAAAAAAAGAAAGCATAATGATAAGAGATTAGGTCCCTGTTATACATACGTTTTATACATTGTCTACAAATTGCATATTTGAAGACCCTCCACAACAAAATAAGACAATATGATTAATGTTTTTAATATGACATAAATACATATATATGCCTTGTACGACGAGCATACAAAATACAGGCAATACAAAATGTGATTATACATCAGTTTGTTCCACAAGTATAGTTATATATATACCAAAATGACTTGTAGATATTATCGTGAGTTCTGTACGAGTTAGGGATAATTGCAACAAATCAATCATCAATGATTATGACATCAAATTTTGCTCTAGAGTTAACTGATTGGGACGATCCTACACTTTTTGAAGGTTGGGTGCTTGATAAAAGAACATCATTTTTGAAAATAACTTCAAAAATTTGGTAGTTGGGATAGGAATGTAGACAATACTCCGCAACAAATTCTACTTCTTGCATTACGTAGTCAATAAAACTATAAAAATAAAATGTTTGATAGTCAAAGGAAACAAAAAAAAAAAAATGTACGTACTTTCGATTGAAATTAATGAAGTACACTTACTTCCAAATATTCGTCTGATCCCTNGTTACACATTTAGTCTTTAAATTTCACAACTTGAAATAGAATAAAATATTTGTAATATATCACCTTTAAATAGACATTCCAGATGTCATCACCATCAACAACAAATCTTATTCTTGGTTGAATTAAAACCAAATCCGAACGTGGCCATCATGGTGAATAATGAGTTGTATNTCGTCTGATCCCTCCACCAAACCTTATATCATACATTTGGTTCGATTATCCCATGCAAATTTGCCCATCTCCAACATCTCAGCAATGGTGAAATACTGTCGTTCCCAAAAAAATATTATCCGTAAAACCTCGTTCAATGAGAGGCTAAATCGTGGCATACTCCTATGTAGGACATGTAACATTCAATCAATCGTCTTCTTGTCATACCTCTCGTATGGAGGTAACAAGTTGTGATTTTTGTAGTCAATCAAAGTGTCTAGAACTTTTGTTTCATCATCATTGATGTTTGGTATCTTCATGCCTAAGTAACAAAATAACAACTTCATATTAGCTGCAAAATCCAATCATTAGATTTATCAACGCATGTATTGCTAAAAATGGTAAATTAAAACACACATGTAATTTCATTCTACCCAGATTGACAAGCATCAATTCTACATTACAAATCACTTACATACCTANACAAACATTAGATTTATCAACGCATGTATTGCTAAAAATGATAAATTAAAACACACATGTAATTTCATTCTACCCAGATTGACAAGCATCAATTCTACATTACAAATCACTTACATACCTACATATTTATCTATTTTCTCATTTCTAACTAGTGATTAAAAATGGCATAAGTGCACAGATAACATAAGTATAGTATTACAAAAAGGTCAACATTCATCCAACTCTACCAACTAGTAGTACATAACATGGGTGAGTATTACACTCAAAATCAACATCATTACACTTATCATGCACCACATAATATCTCGTTGATATCCATATCTTTGTACGACGATAAGGACTTGTACATCATCTTCCATTGCATTTTCTTCATTAATATTGTGTAACGTTGCATTTTCCTCCACTGCAACATCATCACCAACAAATAAGAC